AGGTCTTCCCGCACGTGGCCAGCATTGAGCCAAGGGGCGACAGGAGCCGACAGAGGGTTTGGAGCTGCTAACCCCATCTCCGGGCTGGGCAGCTGGGCGAAACGGTCTCTGAGTGATGCAGCACCTCTTGGACAGGTTCCCAGCACCGGCTCTGCCGGGTCGTGCGCAGTGACCGTAACATGTCCTCTGTCACCCACGTGTGTCTGATCACTTGCAGATGCTTTGATAAGCAAATGATCTGGTGAGAACTGAAGCGAGCTGTGTTGTGCAGCCCCCGATTCTCAGCAAACAGTGAAAAAGAAGGAGAGCCCCCAGGCTCCCCCTCTGCGGTTCCCGCGGCTGCCCCTGGGGCCAGCGGGGACAGTCACCCCGTGGGACACGGGTGCACGGGCAGACAGCCTGACCGTGCTGCTGGAGGGGTCAATCCAGTCTCTTTTCTTTGCTCAGCAGGTTTATTGGAAGCAGACAGCTCGCCCTGCTCGCAGCCCTCGCTGCGGCTCCGCAGCACAGGGCATGGAGCGATCCAGGGCTTGCCACCCCGTCCTTGCAGGCTCCAGTACCTCTTTTTCAGGCTAATACTTTGCAACAGGTTAATATAGATACCGTATACCTATGCAATGGGTTACTGTGTATCAGATATACCTATGCAACAGGTTATTGTATAAAGAATATATATATGCAATGGGTTATTATATTAACATATGTGAGAAAGCTGAGGGTCCGGTTGGAGCCGTGTGTTTCCTGAGCACCTCTGAAAGCCGCTGCCGGTCGGTGTTTCTCGCTAAGCCGTAGACGCGTGGCCGGGTGGTGATGGCGGGTCGACAGGCGGCGAGCGCAGAAGTCTGGCAGGGGTAGGGGAAAAAAAGCAAACGAGGTTTTAAACCAAACGTTTCCCCCCCAAAGGGAAAGGGGAGGGGGAGGGAAGGGCTCCTGCGGCAGCACTGCCCCAACGCGACGCATCTGCGGAGGGGGTTTTGCCCATCCGCTTCAGAGCAGCAACCGCTTCACACGTGTGCATCGCTGCTGCAGGTGCTCCCTTGTTTTTTGAAGGAGCCGATGTGTCTAGAGCCAGTAAAAAGCTAAATGCATGGTACGCCGCAGGGTAAAGTCACACAAATTTCCGTCGGTGGCGTGGGGCCAAGGTCACAGCCTGGGTTTTGTTCCGTGAGAGTGCAAACACACACGAGCGTGCATGCTCACACATGCGGTGCCCGAGGGAGCCGCTTACCTCGCCGCTACCAGCAGCAGCGGGGCAGGAGGAAACCAAGGGCGGCAGCG